GGAGTTGGGGGTTGCTAACCTGTCCAGAGAACACAAGGCCTGCAGAGGCCTGGAAGGCAGCTTGTGTTGCAAGAGGCCAGTGGAATCAGGGAGCTGATTCAGAGTAGGCACAGACAAGCCTCCCTCATGCTAAGGGCAGGTGGTAGCAAGGTGCCTCACCCCCCTGGGAAGCACCACACTCCAGTAAGCTGCACTGTGTGGTGTTTATGGTCATAAACATACAATTGAAAGCCAGAATAATGGCCATGAGCCTGGGCCCACTCCCACTGACACCAATGAGACTCTTCCCATTGAAGTCAATGAGAGCAGAGACAGTGCATACAACCCTAAATATTCACGAGCAGCCGGTGATTTTGGGTGCCCAACCTGAGATGTCCAGGAGGGATTATTTCAGCACTAAATGTACAGATTAAGAGTTGAATTTAGTTTTGAGGCGTTCTATACAGCTTAGAAAAGATGAGAAATTCTAGCTTCCACACAAACTGTACGCTTTAGTACAAGGCAACATCGTTTATAATGCTCAAAGATCGTGAATTTTGTTTAAAAAGTCAGAACTTACAGAAAAACCGTCTGCCATTTTCCTGAAACAAAGACAAAGGAGACAGTTAATACTTATTTTTCCCACATTCCATCTACAAGATACAGATCTCAGCATTGCATTTTTAAAAGTCACACGGGTTTATATTTAATAAGTCCTGAAGAATATATCCCCTATGTCTTGCCTGCCAACTTTTCACCTCAAAGTATTGCTACTTCCAGAGTGAATGTCTCTTAACTACAGCAAGGACTAATGACATCTATATGAAACATTGTTATCTAAAAATTAAACGGGAAGATATCGGTACCATCCTAGATGTTACACTGCTGTACCTGGACTGATGTTTAAAATTAGTGCCTCCTTATTTAGATGATGTTATTTTCTATATTAACCCTGAGGGTTGAGACCTTAATGGGAAAGAGGCTAATCATCACTGGAATCTTCAGTGCTCAAGGACTGCAAATTAAATGGATAGTTGCTACACTGTGAGATATGCATGCAAGGGCCATTATCTTCGCAAGGGCTTTGCTGTACGGGACTTGAATCAATACGATTATCTTTCCTGGAGAGATGGACGCCAATCTGAAGCGTATCATCTGTGGGGGCTTAAAATCCAGTGAAGGAAATACTGTTTAAACACATAGCAGTCGTGTACAGCAGCTTATTCAGTTACACAAGTCCTGATTCAGCACATCCTTAAACACCAGAGTAATCCCAATGATCTCAAAATTAAGCACATGTATATTGCTGAATCAGGACCACAGTGAGAGAACAAGCATGGCTGAATTTCTGCCTTTCCAACAGACATGAGTCCTTTTAATTAATGGATCTCTCAGATCGAGAGTATGAAAAAAATCAGACAGGCCGTAATATCTGTGTTTCTATTGGCTGTCATTTTCCAGATAACTATAATTTGCACTTGAGATGATTTTTGTACTGACAGTTTCTTACTGAATCTTTGTTAGGTAACAAGATTTCAGCCTTTCCACAAACTGTGTTCTGATTTCTTTATGTATTTTTTGAACGACTGATAAAGTGTAAAGCCAGTTCCAATATCCCAGACACCAAATTTGTGACATCGGTGTAAGTCCAGCGTAACGCCCCTGAAGTCAATGAAGTGACTCTGGCTCTACATCAATCTTACAGAAATCAGAATCTGGCCCTGCGCAGTGTATAAGCAGCAAAAGACAGAGCTGCACTTAGAGTAGTCAGCTTTAAGTTTTCCTTTTTGTCAAATACTTTTCATCACAATGTTTTCCTCCGGCCATAACAGTTGGAAACAGATTTGTATCAGTAAGTGGTAACACACAGTTATAGTTACAGACATAAATAGCATCAAAGCTCCATATTCAGTCTGTAAATAAGGACCACATCAAGTTTATCTTTGCAAATCGAGACTTCTGCAAAATTGAAAACTCAATAGGAAGAAATGAAAGAAGCCCCACCGACTCTGTTCTTCTTGCCTCCCGGAATGAAGATTTTGCAACCAGAGATTTGCTAGCACTCTAATTATTATTTCTATAGTGCTACAGGAATGCAGGACACTTTACAGTCACGTAGCAAGACAAAGTCTCTGCCTGGAGGAATTGCAAGTGTCTGGTTTAGACCAATCCGGACAAGTAAGGTTCAGAAACCGGAGCAAACAGCGTGTGAGAGGAATTCAGCGTCGTGCATTAGGCAGAACAGAATGCAGCACGCTCCAGCCGTGCGCTGGAGAAGATGGTTTGTGTTAGTGAAGTGGGCAGACCTGCCTCAGACACGCAGCAGCGTTGTGCAATAAGAAGGTGCCGTTTTATTTCGTTCTTTCCCCTGATTGTAGCTGCATTTTAAGTCGCACCATGGCTTGTTTCAATAATTCAGACGCATAACAAGTTTTCATCTACGTTTGTCACGTGAGTGGTTGTGACTCTTATCCTAGGAGACACAAATACAAAACCCAGAGACTATTCACCTCCCATCCCCCACCACAGTGGATGTTTCGACATACTAAAAAAAAAAAAGGGAGCCCAAAATTTCTGGAGCAAAAACCACAAACTACGTAATGGATTTTTATTTAAAAAAAAAAAAAAATTAAGTTCAGGGATATCTCCATAGTAACCTCTCTTGGTAGAACGCCTGGCTGATCTGTGTAGCCTTCAGCTAAGGCGTGGCACAAATATGAGTCAGGACTTCACCCATTTTGATCAACTGCTCTCAGATGGAGTAGGATTCTCCTTCCATTAATAATAAAGAAAGTTGGGTTATGGCATACGACTAGCTTATCTCAGAGTGTCACATAATGCTGTACAGTGATCAAATTCCCAGCTTTGTCTTGCGCTTTTCATCAAAACTGCTTTACAAAGGAGGTATCATTATCGCCGTTTTCCAGACAGGGAAACTGAGGCACAGAGCCGTGAAGTGACTTGCCCAAAGTCACCCGGCAGGACAGTGGCAGAGCCAGGAATAAACTTAGGTCCTTTGAGTCCCAGGCCCGTGCGCTAGCCACTAGGCTACACTGCCTCTCTAGCAGTATACTAGCGGCAAAATTCCCACTGACGTCAGCGAGAGCTCCTAAGTTGTTAACAGAGCATCAGTCATATTGTACGTCGCTGCCACTCAAAACTGCACCTGATTTTTAGGTGAACAATTCTACCAAAGGGAACCAAAATCAGGCTCTAACCAGGATTCGGGCTCTAACCATGAGCAGCACTGAGGCCAGCAAAGGAAAGAATTAAATTTACCCAGCGACCGAAATAGTTACAGCGGCACTGAGCTGGGACAGAGAACGTCTTTGTTAGCTGCTTAGCTGAACTGCACGTACATCCCCTGCCGTAACCAGGAATCACTGCAACGCAGACAGTCATGTGGGGGCAGTTATTTTCTTTGGTCCTGACTGTCTTTTTGTTCTGTGTTTGGACAGCACCTAGCACACTGGGGTCCTGGTCCTTGACCAGGGCTCCTAGATGCTCCCGTTACGCAAACAACAACGATGCAGTAGACCGGGGTTGGCAAACTACAGCCCGGGGGCTGCATTCGGCCCTTTAGACGTTTTAATCCAGCCCTTGAGCTCCTGCCAGGGAGCAGGGTCCAGAGCTTGCCCTGCTCCAGCACTCCAGCTGGGGAGCGGGGTCGGGGGCTTGCCCCACTCTGCATGTGCCGTGGCACCACGCGGCTCCCGGAAGCAGCGGCATGTCCACCCCCCAGCTCCTAAGCGTAGGGGCAGCCAGGGGGCTCCGCACACTGCCTCTGCCCCAAGCACCGCCCCTGCAACTCCCATTGGCCGGGAACCGCAGCCAATGGGAGCTGCAGGGGTGGCACCTGCGGACGGGGCGCTGCGCAGAGTTACCTGGCTGCCCCTCTGTGTAGGAGCTGGAGGGGAACATGCTACTGCTTCCGGGAGCTGCTTGAGGGAAGCACCTGGAGCCTGCATCCCTGACCCCCTCCTGTGCCCCAACCCCCTGCCCCAGCCATGATCCCCCTCCCACCCTCCAAACCCCTCGGTCCCAGCCCGGAGCACCCTCCTGCACCCCCAACCCCCCAGCCCCACCCCAGAACCTGCACCCCCAGTCAGAACCCCCTCCCTGAACCCCAAACCCCTGCCCCAGCTCGGAACCACCTCCTATACCCTCAACTCCTCATTTTTGGCCCTACCCCAGAGCCCTCACCCCCTCCCGCACCCCAACCCCCAATTTTGTGAGCATTCATGGCCCATCATACAATTTCCATACCCAGATGTGACCCTCGGGCCAAAAAGTTTGCCCACCTCTGCAGCAGACCCTCACTGCACGTGCCTTGAAGATTGCTGTCTAAATGAACACAAACAGGGATACGCAGTAATTCTGACTTCCCCTCACCAGAAACGGATCCCATCACCGGATCCATCCACAGGAGAGTTGATCATTATGCAAGTCAGTGTTTAAGGCCTTGGCTACACTGGAGATGTACAGCGCTGCGCTCAGGGGTGTGAAAACGCCCCCCCCCCGAGCACAGCGAGTGCAGCGCTGTAAAGCGCCAGTGTAATCAGCACCTGCAGCGCTGCACGCTCGCTCGCAGCACTGCAAGCTACTCCCCTCGGAGAGGTGGAGTACATACAGCGCTGCAAGAGCTCTCTCGCAGCGCTGGCGGCGCGACTACACTCGCGCGCGGCAGCGCTGTGAATTCCCAAGTGTAGCCAAGGC